GATTCTATGATTCTATGACTGAATACCTCACTGCCTATGGAGTTGCTTCTACTCAGGATGCTTTTGCAGGATGACTGTGGGAAGTGGGAATATGAGTGGCACTGAACAGTTGCCTTCATCTGATTACCACTGCATGCTGCTGCTTTAAACTAGGCTGTTGGTTCTCCAACACATGTATTTCACAGGTAGAGAGACTGATGAGAAAGGGAGGTGACGTAGAGTGTGTAGTTTATGCTCTTTGAATCTAGTAACGTATTTTGAGGTGCACCAGTTTCTATTTTGGAGGATTTTGGTTAAGCATACAACTGCAGTTAAGTGTCTGTTAAATGGGAATTTGAAGCATTTTAGCTCACTCTGGCTTCAATTTTATTCAGCTCCAGCACCCGGGATGCAGAAATGCAGATTCTCTTCATGTCTCGTGCTTGACATAGTTGGGATAAGATTCTCAACAGTTGAGGCAGCCCAAGAGCTTTCTACTCTTCAGCTTTTGCTATAGACATCATTTCTAGTTGCACGTTGCAGAAGTCGCTTGTGGCTAGCAGGAGATAAAGTGGTACTACCCATTTCTATTCTATTCAGCAAAACAAACTCGAGGTTGCAATTCTGATTTGCCTTATACTTGTAGTCAGATTCAAGTTTGACGTGGGTATTTAAATCCCAGGGAATAGTGAACTGTCTGCGAGTGATTCTTAGTGAGAAGTTACTCTACAAAGACATACCTAAATTTTGCTTTCTTTAAGTCAGGGTTATTTTTATGCACTTGCCAGTACTGTACTGTCACGGTGGGTGTGCGCAGTGGGAAGCAGGCAGTCGTGCTGCAGGGGTTTATTATTTCTGGCTGGGAAAGGTGCCCATTTGCCACAATGGCTTCTTTAGTTTTTCACACCTCCTTTTCCCAGTTGCCAGCCTTGCGACACGCTACTTACCGTGGGCAGGTTCAGCTGTACCCTGCAGAAAGCTGCTTCTGCAGGTGGGGCGTACTGTGCCTTGCATGAATGGGTACACGGCGGGACGGACTTTAAATCGTTGAGCTGCCAGCAAACTCCTTCAGCGGCACCAGGGAAAGGGTTTTCAAGCAGCTGCCTTTGCAAAAACACTGTGAAACTCTGTAAGAAATAAGTTTTCCTATAACGAGGTGGAGGAGCCTCAGGATTTTCTTGAACAGAGAAGGCTGTAACCTCTCCCCGACATTTCCTGCTCCCTCAGAAAACAGAGCCAAGTACCTTCCAGTCTGTGAGCAGCACTTGCTAGCATTGTGCATCAGTGATTCCTGAAGCTTGAACAAACCTTAGACACACAAACTGGAATCCAAATCTCTCTGCTTATTCTGGCAATACTGTCTAGGATGCCTAGAACCAGGAGTTTGCCAGAGCGAGCTGTGACACTGAGTAAGCCAGACATACTGCTGCCATCTCGGTGCTCACACTGCAGGAGACAGCCAAGAGGAGCAGCAGCGGCTATTGGGGAACTGAAAGGGTGAGGGTACTGACAGTTTGTACCTGGAAGGCATCAGTGTGTTGCCCATATTTTTATATAACGAGGCTCAGCTCAAACCTTTTGAAGCCACCCTGCAGTCAGCAAGTGACAGGGACAGCCAGTCACAGCAGTTAAAATGGGTCTTTTGAGCTCTGTGTCCAGTAGTTAAAACCTGACACAGAAGCAGGAGTTGGGAAGCAAAGTATTAGGTTCAGGTAAAGCTGTTGGTGTTTGTGGAGCAGCTCCAGTATCTCGGGACATCTAGACACCAAGTAGTGGAAAAGCTTAATTTTTCTAGAATTCTAGACAAAATGTTTGACATACAAGAGAACAGTTTATCACCACCTTGCAGTCTCTCCTTTCCTCTCCCCCGGCCCTCATACTGCTCGTGGGGTTGAATGCTTCTCATCTTGTTTTTCGATGCCTGCACTAGGATGAAACAAGCCCTGTAAAACAGGCACACCCTGTAAATGCTGAAATAATCTAGCTCCAGTGCTGATGTTTGGGTTTCGTGAGGTGAAATCCATACCGAGAGTCTGTTGCTTACATGGAGAATGGCTGACCAAAGCAGGTTTGTCTGTTTATGCTACCAAGAACACACTCTCATGTCCTGCTCTTCTGTGTCATGCAGGACCTGGGTTCTCCGGCGATAGAAGAACAAGTTGATCAGCCTACAATAGATGATGAGACCGTGCTTATTGTTCCTTCTTCCCATGGTTTTATCCAGACGACGGATGATATCGACGGTGAATCAGTCCTGCCCCTGACAACTCTAACAGGTACAACTGTCCCTTCATGTGGGTGATGCTGGAGCTAGGATTCATTAAAGCGGTACGGCACTTTGGGGTTCCTGTAAACAATGCTTTATAGATCCTTGCTGTCCCTTAAATACTTTTCCGTGTCGTTGCTATGGAACTTTAAGCTAGTCAGTTACCCTGCTTGTGTCAGTGGAAGCGGAAGAAGTCCCACTTAACCTTGTGGGAGAAGCATCAGGACAGCAGCTGCGTCATCACTTGCTGAGCTGTTTCCATCACCCTTGACCCTTGAATTAGTACACGTAGGTTAATAAGTAACTCTTTCTCTAGTGTGCGTTTCTTCATGCCTGGTGCTTGAAATTCGTTTCTTAATCGAGAGAAGATCAGAGGCATCAGAAATGCACTTGATACCTCTCCTGGTGAGGGGCTGGGCTACTCAGGGTTTGCACAGCACTCACCTGGAAGGGCTTGCTAGCTTGTGCCAAGCTTCCCAATGCCAAGAGTCATCTCAGGCTTGGAAGCAGCACAAATACATTCTCCCACTTCTGCACGTTAACGAATACTCCTTTACAGAGGAAGGGAGTTCCCTGCAGAGCCATCTGAGGGTCAGCCCTGAGCCTGATAGAGTAATTCTCGTTGGATCCAAACGTGAGTCAGACCAGTTGCATCCATAGCAGCCACAAGTTACCTTGAGACTAGAAATTGTGAACTGATTGGTTTCATTTGAGTAACACTGATTAAAATGGTTAAAATTCCAGTCTGCAGTTTCTGTCTCGTAAGTGTGTATGCGGTACCTTTTTATGATGGCACAGTAACTAATCGTTCTGCTGTTCCATGTCTCCTGACAGATCCTATCCTACAGCATCACGGAGATGGGTCACACATTATTGGCTCAGCGTTGGGCAGTCCTGACTCGGAAGATTCGAAGGACGTTGAAGACTTAGTGAGCTGTCACTGAGAAGCAGTAGTCGTGTCCGTTTTCTATTGACCGTGTTTGCATTGTGAAATTAGTTACAACCCTGTGCCACATTTCCAAAGAAAGCAGTCAGTCCGTGTCTTCAAACAGAAACTTCCGGTTTGACGTGGCTACAGTGCACTTTCTCTGCTCAGGCTGTTTACCTCATTTGTAAAGGGTTACAGAGCAGCCAACTGAAGCCTGGTGTACTGCGTCTCAGCCAGGGTGTCTCCGTGTGGTGAAGAATCCCTGTTGCAGTGCTCACTGCTAGGATCCACGTGGTCAGCTCTCATCTGACTTGTTACTGGTGTGCTGAACCGCGCATCCAGAGAACTGGACAGAAGTCAAGGATTGTGGACTGTAGCCTCTCGGTGCCGCAGCAAGAAGTAGTTTGCACATGGTTCGTGAAGAGTGGGTGAGGATTCCTGCACTTACTGACTTTCGTAATACGTGGAGTAAGAGACTGTTACACTTCAGGAAGAATGTATTCCATCAAAGCCTTCAGGGAGCATGGGCAGCATCGTGAAGAAATGGTCTGTGTTCCCGTCTCATCTGGCTTGTTAGTACGTCTGCGGCACAGGACTGGACACAGATGCTTATGGGACTCGCCTGGTCTGCTTGTTCCTGAGGAGCCCGTTGCTGGCAACGGACAGAGCTCGGAAAGATCACTTGTGAAAAACTTTTTTTAATTATTTTTTATTTTCTTTTCTTTCATCACTACAGCAAGCTGTGTAAAAAGGGAAGGGCTATGAGAAAGGGAAGCTACTGGGACCCACCAGCCTCCCCCCACAAGCTTGTAACGTCTTTGGAGGTCGTCGTGAGTAGGCTGGAACAATGTCTCTCGCTGTTTACATGACACTACCAGCCACCTCTCCGGAGGTGATTTAGGCAGCAAGTCAGTAGATGTGGCGTGGTGAGGAGGGGACAGCGTCTTGGAGAAATAGCTCTGTGAGAATTTGGGCACAGGGCCTCGGGGGCACAGGAAGCCAGTTAATTCCTGCCTTCAAGGGTTTGAAACAGACACTAGGCTGAGCAGCAGCCTGTTAGCTAGGGATTGAGAGAAAAAGCTATAGAAACTAAAGACTCATGTATAAATTATTTTATTTATTTCTGTAATTAGCTCTTCATAATCAAGAGTTGGTCTTTTTCAGTCTGTGGTTTTGTTAATGTGAAAAATAAGTTGTAGTTTCAAATGGTTGCCTAGGGAACAGAAATAATTGTATATTCAGTTTAAACGAAATAAAGAGTATTTGTCTTACGTAACTGTAAGATGCCGTTTATTGATACTGCTACAGATCCTTGCAGTGCTGCAGTTTATTTGTGCAGTAATAAAAAAATGCAGGTTTTTTTCCAAAATGAAAAAGCTCGTGCCGTTCTGAAACATCAGTACAACTGGAATGTTCATTAAGTGCAACAGTAGCTCTTCAAAAAAAAGCAGAATGTCACATCTTATGGCAAGAATTCTCCCCAACAAGAGGGACATTACATATACATTTACATGAAAATCATGTACTGATTTATCCTTGCACAACCCACTTCTTTCCTCTCAGGCCGATTGTCCTCCCCTGGGTGTCTCACGGAGAGCCGAGAGCCGAGCTGGAAGCAGTCTGACACGGGAGCGTCGCCGCTGGGTGTTCCCAGTGTCCGTCATTTACCCACTTCATGGAAGTACAGGTTGGCACATATACATAACATGACAATAGAAAATAATATATAGTAAATCAGGTTCCTGAATTTAGGTTCCAGGTCTCCTTGTCGATACCAGTAGATCTAGAAGAGAGGAGGAGTTTGTATTACTTCAAAATGCCAGGTGGTCCTGAGGAAACTTTTTGTGGTAACTGAACTGCCAACTTCCGGACTTTAAAACAACCAGCCCCATCTGACCAGAGCACACCAGGCAGAGTCTGGCTCGTGTTCTTAACTTCAGGAAATACCTCTTGTTTCATGTTCTTAACATTAGGAAATACCACTTGTTTTCTTAGCATGCTTCTGGAACACACAGGAACTTGGTGTTTCTCCCCAAAGCAAGGCTGTTTGTTTGTTGGTTTGTGAAACTAGGGTACTGGGTTAGCTATGAAGACGTGGGTTGTCTTGTCAGCCTTGCTGAGGAGGGGAGGTGGGTTGGGGGGGTTTTACACACAAAACGAGCTCAACCCGGCTTAGGTCGAGCGCTACACAGTCTGTCTTGGGCAGAGTCACGGCTGCTGTGAACCAGAAACTGGTACTGACCAGGCAACGCAGAGCAACTTCCCAGTTTACCCAGCGGTGGGGGGCAGGACTCCGGGCTGCAGCCGTTCCAGGTGACAGCGGGAGGGAGGAGAACGCCCCAAGTACGAGAAGCTCCAGCACAGGAAGGAGCCACTCGTGTCCCTGCTCATGGCGGGGGCTTGGACTAGGTGATCTTTGAAGGTCCCCTCCAACCCAAACCATTCCATGAACTCTGACCTGCCAGCTCCCTTTGCCAACACTCGGGATGCTACAACAGTTGAGCAGAGGAACCTCTGCTACTACCCCGACAACGTGCCACCGGCCGTAGCTTCCTGCCCTGTAACTCATCCCCCATGCCAGAGGGTCCGGATTTCTGCAGGTGCCTGGCTGGCCCCAGTTTGGGTGTTCAGCTCCAGCTGCGCAATCCCCCTCTGCATTCCCATCTCCCTGCTCTGCTCCCTGCGTTCGTGTCTCTGCTGGCAGCTGGCACTGTCACAGAGGTGACGAGTCTGGCGTCACAGCTGCCCTGCAGAAGGCTGAGCCGCGCGTGCTCGGTGGTGAATAACGAGCCGGTTACCCCTTGTTCCTCAGCTTGTTTTAGGGAGGCGGGAAAGCTTTTCTAGGAGAGCGTAAAGAAGAAGGCGGCACCACATCAAGCAGCTTTTATTCCGATTTCATCCCCGGCCACAGGCCCAAAGGCCCGGGGGCAGACGTGGCGGTACTTACAAGGATGCCGGCAGAAATGCAACACAGGGAGATGCAGAAAGCAAAGAAGATATTCACAGGTTTCGGAGGTAGTTGCGGGAAGACGAAAGCACTGATTAGAGTGACCTGGATGGAGGAAAACAGAGATGAGGGTTTTCTGCTGCAACGAGAAGACGCTCGCCCCGCCGGCCGGCACACCGCAGCGCTTGCACCCAGCTCTTGGAACTCCCACCCCGGGAAGGGCTGGGGGGAAACGGAACATCCTGGTGGAAAAGCACTTTGACGGAACTGTGGACTCAGGAGGGGGGAATGATTCCGACACAGAAGCAAACACGTTCTCCCGGGGCGTCAGCCCTTTTGTCATCTCCCCCAGCCTCAGGTTCAGGACAATCTGCCCATGGATCTGGGACTTTTTATGGCATGGCCAGATCTTAAAACATGGCTTGAAGAAAAGTGTTTTCCTCTCCCAGTGTCCAGGTTCCAGCAGACCCCGAGGTGATGACCTGGGCCCCAAGCTGTTCCGCAGTGAAATTTCCCTGCCTGTTTTGGGGAGGAACTCTGGTGTTCACCCCGTCACCTAAGGGAGGCACAAAACACGGGATGGGATGCAGGATACTCACTACAAGCAGCAAGGACGTTAAGCCGCCGACAACCAGATTGATGACTCTGTCCTGAGGAAAAGAGAGGACAGTTAACACAAAAGCCAAACCCACACAAACCACCCCGGTAACGACCAGGCTGAGGGCAGCACCAGGACCCGTGTTATCCCCAGCACCATCCAGGCTCCCTGGCCAGCTCTGCCACGCAAGAAGGTTTTCCTTCCTCCGACTCCACGGATTTCAGAAGGTGGGACCGGCCTCGTGCACCAGGCTTGCTCATTGAAACTGGCTTCTTCGCTCCATCCAAATCGGTTACAGCTGTGCAAATCCTTTTGGGAAGTTCTTAAGAAGTGGGAGTGCAAAGACGGAGGGTGTCAGAAAACGCGTATTTTAGCCTCAGTACCTGAGAATTAACAGCTCGACAGTGTATCGGGGAATTTGTGGGCTGCCTCCAAGGACGTGAAGCGTTTCCCCCAACACCAGCTGACCTGAACATGCCTCAGGGTGGCCCTGCTCGGGCAGAGGGTTATCCCTGCCCCACTTCTTCCTGCTGCTCCCCATCAGTACAGAACACTTGGCTGGGAGGACACACCCTCTTTGCACCTGGGAAGCATCCCATGGGGTCAGCATCGCAATCCCATCCCAGACGGCGCCCGGGCAGGGACCGGCAGTGACACCGGGCTGCGTGACCGCGGGCTCAGCGGAGCGCCCGGGGCAGGACCCCGACCGTACTGATGCACTCGCTGGAGCGGGAAACAACTCGATGCAAAAGGAGAACATCCCCATCCCTCCGGGACACCGGCCTCCTCCTTTCACGGGGCTGCTCTGAACACAAACCTCCGTCGCCAGCGTCAGACTGGGAGGCACGCAGCAAGGTGTGACACCCCAGAAGGCTGGCTCCCCAGATAAAACGCTACAACAGCTACAGCAGAAATGATGTGCAGGAGAAGAAACCCAGAACTTCCATTAATTACGCTGAGAGTCAGTAAATAGGCACGGTTAAAGGAACGTGGGAGAAGAGTTGGAGCAGTGAAAGCATTGCCCAAGCCAGCAGGCAGGGTGATCACGGTTCCCCTCCACCTGGTCTTGCACCCTTCTTCCCTCCTAGCATTCCATTCCGGAAGGCGATTTATAGAGGGAGAGGCCATGAAGAAGTAATGCGGGGCAGGAGCAGAGGAGGAGGCAGGAGCCGAGGAGGCAGGAGCAGAGGAGGCGGGGGGAGAGGGCGCGGGAGGGGG